ACATATGTACATGCCTTTATTTAGACCTCTATAAAGAAGCACAATTTTCATAAAATAATATTTATTCTTATTATGTGTTTAACTTTTTTTTTTATGAAGTCTGAGGGTGGTAACTCTAAGTAGCGCTGGTGGTGCTGTGGTTTAGACACTGGACTGCTGATGGCAATGTTAGTGTTTGAAACCCCCCAGAGGCTCTGGGGGAAAAGAGAGGCTGTGTACTCCCCTAAAGGTTTGCTGTCACAGAAACCCGGTAGAAGGTTCTCATTGCCATCAAGTCAATGCCAACTCATAGAGACCTTACAGGACAGGCTAGAAATGCCCCTGTGAGTTTCTGAGACATGAAACGGTCTGAGAAATGTCTTCTATAACAGTTTACAGGAGTAGAAAGCCCCACCCATCTCCTGAGGAGTGGATGGTGGTTTTGAACTATTGACCTTGTGGATTGCAGCACAAAGGATAAGCACAATGCCACCAGGACTCCTGATGGTGGGTTACTATGAGTCAGAATGGACTCGATGGCAGTGGTTTGGGTTGTAACTCTTCTCAGTGACTTCACCACTCACTCACTTGCTGCCCCAAAGCTCTGGTGGTTCTGGGAGCTAGGCATTGGCTGGTCATGCCAAGGGACTCCATGATGGCCTCACTGACTTTGACCATCACTTTGACTTTGGCCTTTTTGAATATTATCTATTACCTCGATTACTCTTAACTCTGATTGTCCATCTTTTGGGGCCATTACTTGCCTTACCCCCTTTCTCCTTCTTGCTGCTTGTCTCATTACCTGCCAGTCTGCCCTTGAGTCTATTAATGAGCTGTATTACATTAGTTCATGAAGTTGTGAGAACTGAGGTAACGTGTGTGAAGCACTTAGTTCAGTTCTTACCATGTAGTAATCTTTCAGCAAATGTTAGTTTCTGTGGAAATAAGTTCACTTTCTTTGCTTTTATTTACCGTACAGCATGTAGTTTGTGAGGAAAATAATAGACTGTGGTTTTCAATCATGGTTTACCAAAAAAGCTCTTCCCTTAATTGTTCTAGTAATTTGTTGTTCTCATCTCCATTGTTGGTCATTTCCATTGCTTCCTTTATGAGTCTATGTTGTTTTCCACGAATAGGCTGAGACCCGGCCAATGTTGATTCTTTGCAGGGGACCCTTCCTGTGGCTTATCTTAACAACACGGACCTTTTCAAGGCAGAGAGCTTGTTCACCAACGCCGTCCAGGTCCTCGAGCAGTTCAAGGTATGACAAGGCCTCACCCCCAAGACAGACAGCACTGTATCTGAAAATCAGTTGTACAAATGAAAATATTTTGGGTGTTCATAAATGACTTTTCTCTAATGAACAATCTTTCAGTTTTGTGAACTTTATATAAAGGTTCACATTATTTTTTTATTTAATTTTTTTACATAGGTTCACAATATTGAATTAAAGGTTCCATAAGTCAATTTCTGAGACTAGAATTCCCTTTCAATAGTGTCCCTAGTTGTAAGATTGCCACCCCTGTTTATGAAAACCAGAATTAGGTCTGTATGAGTTTTACACCATAGAAATGGAATCAGAGATTGCAACATTTCTTGTCATTCCTTGTATATCAGTGTGATTGTGAGCATGCATGTGTGTGCACGTGTACACACACACAACTGAAAAACTCAACTGAAAACACTGCTATTCTTAACACTGGTTATGCTGTTGGTGTTTGCTGTTTTTAAGTGTTATAAGAACTGCAATTTAGTTACATTCCAGAATGCTACTTTTTAGGCTTGACATGTTTCATGCCCAGCTAATCATGATAATAAGATCATGTTAAATTTTTTCCTTTAACTGTTTATGAAATAACACCGTAGCCCAAATTTCAATTCATTTTCTAAGTAATTAGCCATTCCCCAAAGAATAATCTTAATAGTTGTTTATATTTCAAAAGGAAATGAATTCCTCCCCGTGTACTAAATAACATGTTTTTATCCTTGGTTCCCAGGTGAAAATGACCCAAACAAAAGAAAGGACTTTGCCATTTTGGTTCCGACCATTTAAGTAAGTGGCTGAACGCATCAAAGATGCAGCTAGTAGAATTTTGCACTGAACTCTGTGCTGAGAGATTAGTTGACCTAGAACCTCGATCTCCTTTGCATGCTATATGCCCGCTCCACCTGGCCAGCTCCGTTATTGTTTTTGTTAAGCAATGAGCCAGATGCTAGATACTTTTGAGTAGCTGATGGAGGGGGATGGAGAGACGGCCAGGGGCCTTGAGAAACATTAAGGAATGGCTTCCACAGGTTCAACTGGTTGACTTGGTAAGTGCATGTGGGGTGGTGCACACATGATTTTCCAGAGTCAAATTCTAGGCTGTTACCATTCATATATCCTGTGAACAGGACAGGACCGCTTGTGGGCTGGTGGAAGTTAAGCAATGTGACTAGTGAGCATCCAAGCAAATTATGCCTGGTTCCTCCACTCTCGTCTTACACCATCTCGAATGAGACACGTAGAAATGATTACAGGATCGTGCAGTTTAGAGATGATTATGAGTTTAGTCTTTTCTAAAAAGTTTAGAAATAATTGGTGACCAAATAATTTTAAGGATGATGACATAACAAAATATTTCAGCCTATAGGAAACATATCACCAGCATCTTAAAATGTATCTTAGACTTCTAAAAGGGTCTCCAGTGGGTTAATATATTCGCGGTAGTTGGGTGCCGTCAAGTCGGTGCTAACCTGTGCGACCCTATGTACCACAGAACGAAACACTGCCCGGTCCTGTGCCGTCCTCACAATTGTTCTTATGGTTGAGCCCATTGTTGCAGCCACGGTGTCAGTCCCTCTCAATGGTCTTCCTCTTTTTTGCTGCCCCTCTGCTTTCCCAGGTGTGATGTCCTTTTCCAGGGACTGGTCTCTCCTGCAAGCAAGCCCAAAGTACATGCCTTGACGTCTCCCCATCCTTGTTTCTGGAATGCTTTCGGGCTGTACTACTTCCCAGAC